GAGGAGGAGGTGGTTGTGGAGGAGGAGGAGCAGGAGGAGGAGGAGGTGGAGGAGGAGGAGCAGGAGGAGAAGGAGGAGGAGGAGGAGGAGGAGGAGGAGGAGGACGAGGACGAGGAGGAGGAGCAGGGCGAGGCGGAGCTGGGGAGTGGCAATGGGGGGAGGCGCGAGGAGGGAGGAGGGTCGAGGCCTTCAGGAGTGGAGGACCAGCTGCTCTTCGTGAGCCTGGCGCCCCCCATCAGCCCGGAAAGGGGGGGGAGAGGGAAGCGAGTGCAGTTGCCGTAGGCTTCCCCCATGGGGTCGGAGCAGACCCAGACATAGTGGCGTCGTAGAATTATCAGGACGGAGGTTTTCCACCGTTTTCGGCCTCTGGAAGCCCACGCCGGGCCCCAGGATTGTCAAAAAGCCACTCAGGATGAAACACGGGTCCTGGGGAAAGGGTCGCGACCGCGTGTGAAAAAAATCTAGACGTCTGGGGCGGAGGATCGCTCCGCATCGCCGAGGCATCGGCGATGCGGCGCGTTGCGGAGCCTGCTTTTCTCCACGACTGCGCCTCCGATGCATCGCCGATGCGTCGCCGATGCGTCGGCGATGCTTTGTCGATGCGGCGCGGTTATCCGACCCCATCTGCTCCGACCCCATCTGGGAGGCCTCTAGCTGTCACCCCCCAGGCGTGTCCTTGCCATTCGTTTGCCCCTGCCACCCTCGGATCGCCTGCCGCAAGGGGAGAGGAGCGCGTGCGGATGGACGGCGAAGAGGACGACGGGGGCGACACGGACGAAGGCGACAACATCGACGACGGCAGCGGCGGCGACGACCACGACGACCACGACCACGGCGGCGACGACGACGGCAAAGGAGACGACGGCGAAAACAGCAGCGACGACGGCGACGGCCACCACGACGACCACGACCCCGACCGCGACGACGAGAGGGCGGCCCGAGGTGGCGGACGATCTGCGAGGCGTCCTCCTGCTCTCCCTCGCGTTCATGGAGTCGCTGACGATCTACGGCCTCGTCATCGCGCTCGTGCTGCTGTTCGCGAACCCACTCATCAAGTGAGCCGCGCGCGCTCGGCGCCCGTCGGTCGACGACGGCGTCGTCGTGTTGGGCCAGGGCCGCCCCAGCAATTTTCAAGGCCGGCTTCGGGCGAGCGGTGCGGAAATATAGCACCAGCCGTTAACGATATGGAGGGAGGAGGAGGAGGAGGAGGAGGAGGAGGAGGAGGAGGAGGAGGAGGAGGAGGAGCAGCAGCAGCAGCAGCAGCAGCAGCAGCAGCAGCAGCAGCAGCAGGAAGAGCAGCAGGAGGAGAAGGAGGAGGAGGCGGAGGAGGAGGAGGAGGAGGCGGGGGCGGAGGAAGAGGATGATGATGATGATGATGATGGTGATGATGATGAGGAGGAGGAGGATGAGGAGGAGGTGGAGGAGGAGGAGGCGGAGGCGGAGGAAGAGGCGGAGGAGGAAGAGGAGGAGGAGGAGGAGGAGGAGGAGGAGGAGGAGGAGGTGTCTCTCCCTCCCCCTCCTGGCCAGGCCGCCCTCCCCACCAGGAGACCTCGAGCTCACGCGGCTGCTGCTGCGGCGGGGGGCCAGCTGCGACGTGGCGGAGATCGCCTCCGTCGGCGGCCGCACACCGCTGCACCTGGCGGCCCAGGCATCGCCGCCAACGCCGTTGCCGCGACCGCCATCGTCGCCGCGGTCGTCGTCGTCCTCGTCCTCGTCGTCGTCGGTTTAGTCGTAGTCGTGGTCGTAGTCGTGGTCATGGTCGTGGTCGTGGTCGTGGTCGTCGTCGTCGTCGTCGTCGTCGTCGTCGTCGTCGTCGTCGTCGTCGCGGTCGTCGTCGTCGTCGTCGTGGTTGTCGTGGCCGTTGTGGTGGCTGTCATGGGGAATGTGGTTGTGGTTGTGGTGGTGGTGGTGGTGTTGGTGGTGGTCGTCGTCGTCGTTGCCGTCGGGGAGGAGGGGGGGGGGCAGGGAGAGGGATCGGGGGGACTGCGAGGAGGAGAGGAGGAGGAGGAGGAAGAGGAGGAGGAGGAGGAGGAGGAGGAGGAGGAGGGTGGAGGATTGGGGCGTAAGAGGAGGAGGGTAAATAGGAGGAGGAGGAAAAGCAGGAGGAGGAGGAGGAGGCGGGAGGATTGGGAGGATTGGGAGGAGTGCGGCGAGGAGGAGGAGGAGGAGAGGGGGGGACGAGGGCAAGGACGAGGCGGATGAGGACGACGACGAGGACAACCGGCCGGTCCACGTCAAACATATAATGACCATTCGCGTGAAGCACCCGGGGATATAGGGAGAGACAGAGGAGAGCCAAGGATGGAGGGGGTGGAGCCGAGGGGGGAAAGAAGGAAGCCGAGGAGGAAGAGAGGGAAGCGCACCTGGAGGAGGAAGCTCAGGGCTTGCTCCCAAACCCGAACCTGCAGCCACCAGAGGCCACACTCAACGTCAGATTTGGCCAGACTTGTGTTAATGTGTTTGCTTGGCGTCGGCCACAGGTCTGTCTGATGCAGGTCAGCGCGGTTTCGCTGGAGACGTCCTCCCACTTTGCTTGGTTTGCTTTGGTTTGGGTTTGGGCACCTGAGAGGTCCTTGCAATTTGCCTTGTCTGGCCCTGGTTTGGGCGCGGTTCCGCCTGGCATGTTTTGGGCAACTTCGGCACGCTTTGGGTCAAGAGTTACCAGCGGGGCCCTTGCAAGCTCCCTGGTTCGAACTGGCATGTTGCGCGCGTATCAGGAGAAATCTTCGCACATTGCTCGGTCTCGGGTGCGGGCATGGCCCGATTACATCTCACACGCGCTCATTGTCCTCCTCCTCCTCCTCCTCCTCCTCCTCCTCCGCCTCCGCCTCCGCCCCCGCCTCCTCCTCCTCCTCCTCCTCCTCCTCCTCCTCCTCCTCCTCCTCCCCCTCCTCTTTCTCGTCGTTCACCGTCTTCTCATCCTCCCCACCTCGTTCAATGAGTTGCATTTGGCTGAGGACGGACCAGGACCATTATCGTACATTCAGGCTCGTGGGTGCACACGTGGAGAAGTGTGGTGTGTAGTGAGGACCCAATCGACTGATCCACATCTGGCACTGCTGTGCTACAGTATAACAGGCGAAGTGGGCGTGGATTTCCGATGCGCAGTGTTTCCAGTCACTGTATCACATGGCTCAATCATCGCTCGCACAATTCCTGTTGCTGTGCGGCGTTGGACAATGTGGCGGCGTTCGGAGAAAGCCGTCCCCGGCCTGTAATCCCATTATGTCAAAGCTGAATTTAGTTAGAGTTGGATCGAGCCCTGCTAGGATGCGATTAAAGCTGGACCGAGCTTTCGTAGGATTCTATTCGAGTTGGATCCAGCCCTACTACAACCCTATGAGAGCTGGACAGAGTCGAGTAGGATTCGAGTAGAGCTGGACCGAGCCCTAGCAGGATTCCGTTCGAGCTGCATCAAGCCCGAATCGAGTTTCATCAGAGTTGGATCGAGCCCCCATGGTTTTTTATCGGGGCGCGATGGAGCCCTGGCAGGATTCTAGTAGAGTTGGGCCCAAACCCCGGAAGAATCCCGTGAGTGCTGGATCCAGCCTTGGTGGGATTCAAAATGAACGTGGCCGAGCCTGGGCGAGCCCCAACTAGGACTCCATTAGAGCTGGATCGAGCCCCAGTAGGATTCTACTAGGGCTGGCTAGAGCTGCATCGAGCTGGTCGTAGTCGTCGTAGTCATCGTCGTAGTCGGTCCGCCGCCGCCGCCGCCGTCGCCGCCGCCGCCGCCGCCGCCGCCGCCGCCGCCGCCGCCGCCGTCGTCGTCGTCGTCGTCGTCGTCGTCGTCGTCGTCGTCGTCGTCGTCGTCGTCGTCGTCGTCGTCGTCGCCTCTGTCCGTCGTCTCCGTCCGTCGTCTCCGTCGCCATTTCGGCTCAGGCCATGCTGGCTCGAGGGCCCCGGGTGGGGCTCCGCCTGGGCGTGGGGACTGCACGCCAGCGGCGGGGCGCGAGGTCTGGCGGCCGAAGCGCACCAGAGTCCCAGGCGGCGGAGCGCTGGTGCGCGCGTGGCTCGACGCGCCGGGCCCGCCAGGCCTGTGCGCGGTGGCGGGCGCGATCCCGCTCGTCGGCGGGCTCGTCGCGGCGGGCCCAGGGGCCTCCGAGATCGCCCCCAGCTCGGCCCAGGCAGGGCCTCGCAAGGCAAGGGGGCCAACCACAGGCTAGAGTGCTGCCTGCTGCCCCGCCCACGGAGGAGCCCCCTGGCGATCATGGCCACCGGGCCACCCACTGGCCACCAGGGCAGGTCGCGGCTGGGCGGCGGCTGGGCGGGAGGCCGCGGCGCGGGTGCGCGCAGCGCGCGGGCGCGGTCGCGGGGGCGGCGGAGGGCGGCGGGCCGAGGCGGACGTCGATGCGGCGGCCGCGGAGCTGCCGCGGGGGCCGAGGGCCACGGAGGAGAGGCGCGGGGGGGGGGGGCGGAGGTCCACGCGGCGACCCAGTGTGGGGTGCTCCCGCGGTCAGGGGCCAGGGCTCGCGGGGGGGAGGGCGGGGTCGCGGAGGACAGCGCTGGTGCCCAGCACCAGGTGCAGGAGCAGCCGATGGAGGTCGAGCGCCCCTTCGACCAGGGGACGGAGATCACGAAGGGTTTTTTCCCATGGTTGAGAACTCAGATAACTTCTTGGCACAATAGCTGTGCAATGGCACAACGAAAACGTCACGGAATACCTCTTGGAGGTTGTGAACATGTCAGACGGTCAGAAGGAAGAGTTGTATGCCTGAAGTGATCCAGGCAGCGCTCGTGTAGGAGAAAGGGGACGGAGGGAATACTACAAGCACGGAGGAGAAGCACGGGGGGGGGGGAGCGGCACGACGGACGGCACCGTGGCGACCCCGTAGCGGGCCGAGGAGCAGCTGGAGGAGGGCGCGCGGCCCTCCGACCAGGCGGCTTCGTTGGCACGAAGGGCGGCATCGGCGGACGGGGCGGCGGAGGCCTCGGCGGTGGGGGAGGCATCCGCGGCTGGCGGGCCGTGGCTGGAGGCGCGGCGCCCGAGGGCTGCCTCGCCGCGGCAGGCGTGGGCGGTGGGCGGCGCAGGCGAGTTTCGAGCACGACTTCTCGTTCCAGGGCTCGCGGGGGCGCGGGACTCGAGGAGGACGAGGAGGAGGGGCCGAAAGCGCCGACGGGCCCGACCTCGGTGGTGGCGACGCAGCAGGGCGCGGGACCGGTGACAGCGTCGTCTTTGTCGTGGTCGTGGTCGTCGTCGTCGTCGTCGTCGTCGTCGTCGTCGTCGTCGTCGTTGTCGGCGTCGGCGTCGTCGTCGTCGTCGTCGTACTTCGGGTCGTACTTTGTCGTCGGCGGTGCCCGTCGTCGTCCTTGGCCGTTGTCGTCCACCGCTGTCGTCGTCGTCATCATGCGTCGTCGTCATCATTTTCTGTCCTACGTCGTCCGCGTCATCACAGTCGTCGTTTTTCGTCGTTCGACCTTCGTCGTTTGGCGCCCTTCGTCCGTCGTCCGTCGTCGTCGTCGGCGACGTCGTCGAAGTTGTTGTTGTCGTTGTCGTCGCCGCCGCTGGTGACGTCGTCGCCGTCGTCGTCGACGCCTGGGTCGTCGTAGGCGTTCTTTGTTAGCGGCTCGGAAGGGGGAGTGGGGGGGCGGTTCGACCCCCCCCATCCCCCAGTTAGAAATGCCGGTGTGTACCCCCCGCCCTTCCCCCCTCAGTTTTTTGGACGTTCCCACTCCTTTTGCCCCGCTCACGTCCCGACGTGTCGCGGGATGTTGCCCAAGCGAGCGTTCACGGAACGCGTTCTCTCCTCGTTTCTCATCTTTCCTCGCCCTTCTCTCCTCCCGCTCCTTCCCTTTCTCCTCCCTCCGCTGCTGCTCGGCTCTCTCGTCCTGCATCTCGGTCTCCGACGGCGGCGGCGACAGCGCCGGCTCCACGTCTCTCCTCTCCTGCTCCCTGGGCCTCGACGGCGACGGCGACGGCTACGACTGCACGCGCCACGGCGACAGCCACACCAGCGGCGACGGCGACGGTGACGACGACGGTGACGGCAACGACGGCAGCGGCCGCAGCAGCGGCAGCGGCGGCGGCGGCAGCGACGGCAGCAGCGGCAACGGAGAGGGCAGCAGCGGCAGCGACGGCGGCGGCGGCGCGGACGACGGCAGCCGCGGCGGCGGCGGCGGCGGCGACGACGGCACCCGTTGCCGGCGGAGGCGCGGAGCCCGGACTGCGTCGCGGCGCTGCTGGAGGCTGGGGCGAACCCGGTGGCCCAGGAGCCTCCGTCCTACGCTCCTCCTCCACCCTCCTCCCCTAGGAGGAGGAGGAGGAGGAGGAGGAGGAGGAGGAGGAGGAGGAGGAGGAGGAAGAGGAGGAGGAGGAGGACGAGGAGGAGGAGCTAGGAGGGGGAGGAGCCCCTGAGCTCAGAGGAGGAGACGGTACCCAAACTGCTACCCTTCGCCCGGATTCCCCTTTTTGTCGTCCTCCTGGTTAGAGTGCACTCCGGGAAAGGTCCGGGGAGTAGCGGTATCGATATTTTTTGGTTTCCCCATGAGATCTGGGCGATGCAATTTGTTCGCACCAGGCGTTTTCGCTCGATTTGGGGGCCCGGGGCCATCATATAGCGATCGGGCCCGATCAACGCCGCAGAAATATGAAGGCTTTGGCTCTGGTCGTGATGTTCCGCGTTGTTGCTCGTTTTTTCGCAGCGTCGGATCTCAAGGGAGCATCATTCTCGTCCTCCTCCTCCTCCTCCTCCTCCTCCTCCTCCTCCTCCCCCTCCTTTTCCGTGCGTCTATAACGATTTTGCGTTTCGAGGGGACTCGGCTCTGTGGCGAAGCGGGCTCATAGAGCCACATGTGTCAGGTGCAGGTGTCCCCCAGGATTCCTTTTGTCTTGCCGACAACACCGCCAGCAGCATCATACCTGTTACAGTAGCGCCGGATTCCCCTCTAGCTGATGTTCGGACTCACCCGCTGCCGCGGTTTCCAGCTCCAGCGCCAGCTCTTCCGTGCCAGTCAGGATCACATTCGGGGAGGCCCCAGAATTTGCGCGGGCAGGTCTCTCCAGAGAGGGCGATCCAGGTGCCACAGGCCTGGGAAGCATACTTCTTCTTAGTCAACTTCAAACGTTTCGGCATCTACTTTGTCCATGCCGCGGCGGCCGCGCGCGACCCCCGAGCCGAAGATGGAGCTTTTGCCAGGCAAGGTCGGCACGCTGAACACATCGGTCGGTCAGCTTTCTCGTCTAGTGAGCAAGGTCGACCAGCTTCGGGCCACCGTCCACAAGCACGCGGAGTATTTTCAAGACCACCCATGGCGACCTCGACTCACTGTCGTGGCACCTGGTGGATGTCAATACCTCGGCTTCTACAGATATCTCATCTGGGTGGCATGAGTCGTTGCTGAGCGGAGGTATCAGCTCCAAGCGGGTAAGACGCGCATTCTCTACACCACTTGGTTGATGGCCTGGCGGCGGAGGAAGGGGTGGTGGAGGCGGAGTAGCAGGAGGATTTGGACGTGGAGGAGGAGGAGGAGTAGAAGGAGGAGGAGGAGGAGCAGGAGGAGGACCAGTGCAAACCCCAGACTCATCAACGATGCTGGAGTACACCCTCCCTCCAAGCTCCCTCCTCATAATTTGGCCCCAACAAGGGTTCATTCCCACTGAGGGAAGTGCCCCGTTGGGGGACAACCGTGTGAAAATCTGGAAGCGTGGAACATGATCGACCCACGAACCCGGAAAGGAATATAGGAATGTAACGCATGGCAGCGTTTTCAAAGATACCTGATTGGGTGACGGGCAATTGCAATGCTGATTGTATCGATCTTGATGTACCGTGCCGAGGGCTGTGCTGTGCTGCACCGTGCTGAATTGCGATGTGCCATGCCGCGGTTGTGCTCTATAGCGTCGTGGATCGAGTCCTCCTTTGCATCCGAGTCCTGACCGAACTGATCTGGATCTTAAGCTCGAGCTGCCTGAACACATAGTATCTGCCGCAGAGCTAATTGACAGGGGGACATGCCAGGAGGACGCGCCGCGAAACGTTCCAAGGGACGCGCCAGGCGACGTGCCAGGGGACGTGCCATGGGGTCGCACCGTAGGACGTGCCAAGGGGACGCGCTACGGAACGTGCCAATGGATGTGCCACGGAATGTGCCAGGGGGACTCGCCAAGGGACGCCCCACGGAACGTGCCAAGGAACGTGCCAGTTTGCAATGCTGATTGTATCGATCTTGATGTACCGTGCCGAGGGCTGTGCTGTGCTGCACCGTGCTGAATTGCGATGTGCCATGCCGTGGTTGTGCTCTATAGCGTCGTGGATCGAGTCTTCCTTTGCATCCGAGTCCTGACCGAACTGATCTGGATCTTAAGCTCGAGCTGCCTGAACACATAGTAGCTGCCGCAGAGCTAATTGACAGGGGGACATGCCAGGAGGACGCGCCGCGGAACGTCTCAAGGGACGCGCCAGGCGACATGCCAGGGGACGTGCCATGGGGACGCACCGCGGGACGTGCCAAGGGGACGCGCTACGGAGCGTGCTGGGGACAAGCGTTTCGCTCGAGACATCCTGTCAACATCCTCATTCTAGACATCCGCCTGAGCGACCTGGACACGTGAAAGCAAACGTTTCGCTCAACACATCCTCAACACATTCTGATGCTAGACATCCGCCTGGGCGAACTGGACACGTGAAAACAAGTAGTTCGCTCGAGACATCATCAACACATCGTCATGTGAGACGTCCGCCTGGGTGACCTGGTCACGTGAAAACAAGCGTTTCGCTCGAGACGTTTTCAACACCTCTTCTTTCTAGACATCCGCCTTGGCGACCTGTACACGTGAAAGCAATCGTCACATCCTCAACACATCTTCATGTTAGACATCCGCTTGGGCGACCTGGACACGTGAAAACAAGCGTATCTCTCGAGACATTCTCAACACATCCTCATGCTAGGCATCCGCCTGGGCAACCTGGACACGTGCAAACAAGCATCTCGATCGAGACTTCCTCAACACCTCCTCATTCTAGACATCCGCCTGGGCGACGAGGACGCGTGAAACCAAGCGTCTCGCTCGAGACATCCTCAACAAATCCTGGCGCTTGACCTCTGCCTGGGCAACCTGGAGGCGTGAAACCAAGCGTCTCGCTCGAGACATTCTCAAGACCTGGGCACGTGAAACCAAGCATTTCACTTGAGAGATCTTTTAAAGTCCCCAGGAGAAGACAATCTATAACACAAAACAAGCGTTTCGCTCGAGACATCCTCAACAAATTCGGACAAACAAGCATTTCGCCAGGGACATCCTGAAATTTTAATTCGCCGGCCCTCTTCCCACTCGTTATTTATCTCAAAAGACATCCGCCGGCCCTCTTCCCGTCAGACCCGGGGGTAAACAGCTAAAACACCATGCTCAGGATTTAAACGCCACTAGTCAATCTGACTGCTGCGTCTTGACGATCTTGAATCGTGTCAGAACATTACCCTGGGACTTCAGCACCGCGAATCAACGTAATTGTTGCGCCCTGGCAATCCTGAATCGTTGCAAAACGTCATGTCTGGTACGCTAGCCATGAGAATCCGTGAAAATGGTTCACGTGTTCAAAACAAATGCGCGCGGCGCTAAAGCGAGAACCACATTTTGAAAAGCATCCGCCCTCAATCCGTGAAGCTCTTCAAAAGTTTCTGACACGAATGTGCGCGGCGCTGAGGCGAGAGCCACATTTTGAAATGGACCCGTCCTCAATCCGTGAAATTCTTGCAGATGTTCAACGGATATGCGCGGCGCTGAGGCGAGAGCCACATTTTGAAAAGGACCCGTGCTCAATCCGTTAAGCTCTTGCAGGTCTCTGAAACGAGTGTGCGCGGCGCTACGGCGAGAGCCATATTTTCGAAAGGAACCGCCTTTAATCCGTGAAGCTCTGACGAAGGTTTAGGACGAATGTGCGCGGCGCTAAGGCGGGGGAGCCACATTTTGGAAGCGACGCGCCCTCCACCCGTGAAGCTGTTGCCAGCTTTTAAGCTTCGGGCTCACAGATGGCAAGGAAGTCTCAGGCGAACCACCGGGCCGGCCCTTCCAACTGGCCTCTGGGTGCAACAGGGATGAGTGGTTCAGAAGGAGAAGGAACGGAGGAGAAGAAGGACGCGGAGGAGGAGGAGGAGGAGGAGGAGGAGGAGGAGGAGGAGGAGGGAGGAGGAGGAGGAGGGGGAGGAGGAGGAGGCGGGAGGGAGGAGGAGGAGGAGGGAGGAGGAGGAGGAGGAGGATGAGGAGGAGGAGGCGGAGGAGGAAGGCGGAGTCGGAGACGGAGGAGGGCGCTGGTGCGGACGCGAAGGAGGCGGAGTAGCAACAGCAGCAGGAGGACCCTCTGGCCGCAGGACCCGCGCGGCCAGACGCCGCTGCACGTGGCCGCCCAGGAGGGCAGCCGCCGCCGTCGAAGTCCTCGTCCTCGTCCTCTGCGTCGTCGTCCTCGTCCTCGTCATCGTCGTCGCCGTGGTTGCCGTCGTCGTCGTCGTCGTCGTGGTCGTGGTCGTCGTCCTTGCGCTCGTGGTCCTCGTCGTGACGTGGTCGCCCCTGCGCCACCGTCCTGCCCAAGAGCCTGCCCCGCGGACGACGAGTCCGTGCGAGGACCACGACTGGTGGCGGCGGGCTGGCGGCGCAGCGGTCCACTGCGGCTGCCTCGAGGGCGTCGACGACGACGCTGCCGGTGGCAGCGATGACGCGGCCGACGACGGCGAGGCGGTCCACAACTCGACCGGCTACGACGACGACGAAGACGACGACGACGCGGGCGCCCAGGATGATGGGCCCATTCTCCACCACCGCTATCATATGTAGGAGAGGGAGGGGGAGGAGGAGGAGGAGGAGGAGGAGGAGGAGGAGGAGGAGGAGGAGGAGGAGGAGGAGGAGGAGGAGGAGGAGGAAGGAGAAGAGGAGGAGGAGGAGGAGGAGGAGGAGGAGGAGGAGGACCTCCTCGTCCTGCATGTGGTATTGCTGGTGGACAGCTGGCCCATCACAGGAGGGCTGCCACGGCACGACTGTGCTGCTGCTGGACCACGGGGCCGACCCGCACGGCTGCGACGCGGCGGGCTTCAACGCCGCCTGGTGGGCCCAGGCCCCGCGCGCCCCGGTGGCCTCTGGGCCGCCGCTGGCGGGGCGGCCCTGGGCGGCCCCTCCGCCGTCTCCTCCTCACTTCCCCCCCCGCCCTTCACCGAGCGCGATCCCCTACTCGCACAGTGCCTGCTCCCAAGCGCCACAGAAAAAGATGTCTTCCTCGCTAGAATTGGATCGTAGATCCCCCGCGGCGGATCCGGGCCATCTGCGAGTAGTTCGTTTGCGAGTACTGGAGCGTGCTGGACCACCCCTCGCTCGGTGCCGATTTCAGCGACGCTCAGCCACGCGGAGAGGGGGGTGGGGGGAGGGGGAGGGCTTCTTAGAAGCGCCCCTGCTTCTTAGAGGGCGCGGGCCTCATCTCTAGATGTGAGGCCGGCGCCTTCCAAGTAGCCGCCTCCTTTCAAGGAGCCCTCCCCCCTCCCTCCACCCTGGTGCGCGCCGCCAACCTCCTCCGTCTCTCCCACTTCCCCCCCCCTCTCGCTCGCCGCCGATTTCAGCGACGTCGCGTTCCTGGCATCATCTATACCACAGCGCCTGCTCCGCCCACTTCCCTCGAGAGGCGCGCCGCGCCACGACACAGGAGCAGCGGCGGCGGCGGAGGAGGCGGCGGAGGAGGAGGAGGCGGAGGAGGAGGAGGAGGAGGAGGAGGAGGAGGAGGAGGAGGAGGAGGGAGGGCTGCGAGCCGGGCGCTGCAGTGCTGCTGTCGCACGGGCGGCTCCGCCCCGTGTCGGGTCCCGGGGCCAGTACACGGTGAGCGTTTTTATGTGTTCCCTCCCCAGTGCCATGATGTTCCAACCTATTTGGCCTTGATCACCAGAAAGAATGTCGAGCGCCAGGAAAAAAAACCGAAACTCGGGGGTTTCACGTGTCGGGCCCTGGGAGACACTCGTCCGACACTGTTTCGACACGCTTTCGACACTTTTCTGGGTGCTCGAAATTATTGCGAAGGCCTTACGGCCGGTGCCTCCGACCCTGAGAACGACGAAGTTGAAAACGAGGGTGGGGGCAGGGGGAGGAGGATGAGTGGGAGGTGGAGGAAGGGTGGAGGAGGTGGATGAGGGAGGAGGAGGGGGGAGAAGGATGTGGAGGAGAAGCAAGAGGAGGAGAAGGAGGCAGAGGAGAGCAGGAGGAGGGGGAGCAGAGGGGGGGGAGGGGGAGGAGGAGGAGGAGGAGGAGGAGGAGGAGGAGGAGGTGGAGGAGGAGGAGGAGGAGGAAGAAGAGGAGAAGGCCAGAGGCTTTCTTGGGACAGCCTGGGGCTCTCTTGAGGCCGTCTTGGGCCGTCCAGGGCTCCTCTTGCGCCGTCTCGAGGCACTCTTGGAGGCCTCCTGGGCAATTTGGGGCTCTCCTGGGCTGTCTTGGGGCAGTTTGGGGGCACCTTGGGAGCCTCTTCGGGCCTCTTGGGGCTTCTTCGGGGCCTCTTGGGGGCCTCTTGGGGCTGAGAGCTCGAATGTCCGTTCGGGTCCCCCGTCTGGGCACTCTCCTGGAGCCGTCTTGGGGGCCTCTTGGGCCGTCTTGGAGGCGTCTTGGGCCGTCTTGGGGCCCTCTTCGGCCGTTAGGGGACCCTCTTGGGGGCCTCGACGCTTTTCCGGGTGCTCGAAATTATTTCTGGGATGTTGTCTTTAAGTACGATGGGAGCAACATAACCCCAGGGTGACGCTCGCTGCCCGGGCCCGTCCCCCCCCGCCGCCCCAGGTGATGTTAACGATCGTATTGGGCGGGGGGGGGTCAGCCTGGACCCCCCCTTTTCATGCCGTGGCGCGCACGAGCGATTGGTGCGCCTGTGGCGCGGACGCACCCTGAGCCTGGCGGGTGCACGCCGCGGGGCCGCCGTGATGGCCACCCTCCCGCCCGACCCGCCCCCCCGGGTATCGACCGTGATCCGGGGAAGAGAGATGATCCTGACATGCGAGGGGTGTGCCGATATGGGGCGGGGGCCGCCATGTGGGCGCTGTCGCTGAGGTTTTAGGTGCACTACGGGGCCGCGAAGCGTACGACGGGTGCGCCGCAGCGGGGCGGGGCGGCCACCTGGGGCCTCCCGGTGGAGCTCCTGGGGCCAGGAAAGGCTGTACTGCGTGGGGGAAGCGCATGCGGACACCGCCACTGGGGCCTTCGCTGGAGCTCTCTATGGGGCCACGAAACGGTGTACTGGGTGGGGGAAACGCATGCGGGCACCGCCCCTTGGGCCTTCGGTGGGGCTCCCGATGGGGCCACGAAACGCTGTACTGGGTGGGGAAAGGCATGCGGACACCGCCAGTGGAGCCTTCGGTGAAGCTCCCTATGGGGTGGGGAAACACATGCGAACATCGCCACTGGGGCCTTCGGTGGAGCTCCCTGCTTGAAACTGCAACTGGCGCAGGGAGCAGCACACTTCGTCCTACAGCCTGGTGGCCCCACAAGGAGGCCGGCGGATGTAAAACATATAGTTGGTTGTTTTGTTGTATTTGTTGTGTTGTGTTACGTTGTGTTGTGCTGTGTTGTGTTATGTTGTTTGTTTGTTTGTTTGTTTGTTTGCTTGTTTGCTTGTTTGTTTGTTTGTTTGGTTGTGTGGTTGTTTGTTTGTTTGTTTGTTTGTTTGTTTGTTTGTTTGTTTGTTTGTTTGTTTGTTTGTTTGTTTGTTTGTGTGTGTGTGTTTGTTTGTTTGTTTGTTTGTTTGTTTGTTTGTTTGTTTGTTTGTTTATGTGTTCGTTCTTTCGTTTGTTTGTTTGTTGGTTTGCATGTTTGCTTGTGTGTTTGTGTGTTTGTGTGTGTCTTTGTTTGTTTGTGTGCTTGTTTGGTTTTGAAAGAAGAATCGTATGAAACAATATTTGGGGACGTTGAACAAATCACAGGGAGCCCCGGGATTCTCCGAGAGTGCCCCCAAGAAGCTCCACCCCAGAGCGGTCCCGTATGCCCCATGAGGTTGAGGGAGACTCCACACGAGGCCGAAGGAGGCTCTAGGAGTTCCCTGGCTGCCTTAACTCGTGCTCAGACTCACTCGTGCATCGATTCGCCTTGGCATCGCTCGGACGTGTGCCTTTCTTCTCGGCGATGGCCCTCGCGGGGCATCTTGGACCAGATTGCGACATGAAAACGCGCGACGCCGAACCATGCACGTGGAACGGACGTCCGAGCGATGGCAAGTCGCTCACTCGCAGACCCACGCATCCTCAGTCATTCGTACGCGCCGCTTCAGGGCCCAGGGCCCCCACGGATCGACGCGGCCCGAGACATCTCACAGATCTCGATTCGGGAGCGTCCGCTCAGCCACGCGCCAATGGTGGGTAGGAGGAGGGGGGAAGGTTTTAGAAGCACCCTTGCTTCTTAGAAGGCGCGGGCCTTGTCTGTAGATGTAAGGCCCGCGCCTTCTAAGAGGCAGCCTCTTTCTAAGAAGCCTTCCCCTCTCCCTCTACCCCCTTGTGCGCGCCGCCACTCCACGGGGGAGATGATGACTGGCGGGGGCCCCAAGAGAAAGGCAGGGGAGAAGACGAATGAGGAGGAGGAGGACGACGACGAAGATGATGAAGACGAGGAGGAGGAGGAGGAGGAAGAGGAGGGCCCCATGAGGGTGGACGTCATGACCGGGGCCAGGATGTCTCCCAGATGCCCCGGCCCCCTCTTCTTCTTGCGACGCGTCCGCTGGCCCCTCGTCCTCTTGCACGCCCCGCCCCCCGCCGCCCCCGATCAGTGGGCCGAGGTCGACAGGCCCAGGCGTGCCTTTTGACGGCGCCGCGCTGCTGTGCAGTGAGCGGTTTGCATAGGGGACGCTTACTTTTCGAAAGGGGCTCGGTCGTTCCTTAGGCTTGCACGCTTCATGCATCGTTCCTGATGCGTCATCTTATGATTTATCGCTCCTTATGCGTCATCCCTTTGGAAGACAGGGGCTTCGTTCCTGATTTATCGTTCCTTAGGTCAGGCCGATGACTGTACCGCTCTCTGACGGTCCTGGAGCTGGGGGGCGGCCTCCAGGGGCCGAGGCA